GGAATTAATTGCTTTACTTTTTTTTTTTTTTTTTTTTTATTTTTATTTTTTATACCACCAGGTAAAATCTGTTGTGCTGCATACATTGAATCGAGCAAGATTTACAGTGGCAGTAGAATCGTTTCTCAAAACAGGTCAGTCTAAATTCTCAAATGTTTATTTCCCCTATATGACAATTATTATTTTCTTTGATTATTTAGTAAATAATATTTTATGATTCAGGCTGTGTACCAAATTTGCAAGAAGGAAACATGATGGAAACAGTATTTAATTTCCCATGGTGTAAAGACAGACCAATTGTTCTTGGTATTTATTTATTTATTTATTTATTGTTAATATATTTTTCATGCTTCACTTCACGTATAATCTTTTAATTTCTTTCTTGTACAATGTTTCTTATTCCTGTGTTTCAGGCTCAAGATTTAAGGATGCATTTCAAGATGCAAAATCATTTTATGACGTGGAGCCTGTTTTTGAGGTACCCATTTTTTTTTTTTTTTTTTTTAATTATCTTCACAGCACATGAACTTGTATGTTTATTTATTTATTTATATATTTGCAGAAAGAGAGATATGTAGTGGCGTATAATCCTGCCAAAGGGAATATATATGCAGTCCTGAAAGATGAAGCAAAATCTGATGATATTTTGAAAGCAGCTTTCCATGTAAGTACCTTGATCTATATTGTTTTATAGTGGCGTAAGTTACATTTTTGGTCCCTGAGTATAGTTCATTTTTCATATTTGACCCTTAAAAGTTCTCTTGCATTTTTCGTATCCTTTTTGGTCCTTGTTCTATAGTTTTTGGACCGAAAGTGCAAAAATTTATAGTAGAGTAAATTGCATTTTTTGTCCCCAAGTATAAATGATTATTTCATATTTGTCCTCTTAAAAGTTTTCTTTGCATTTGGGGCTGTTATTCGTAACATTTTGGGTTCATGTTCTATGTAAAATGATTAATTTTAGGACCAAAATTGCAAGAAAACATAGTTATTCTACTTGGAACAGAGACTAAAAAACCGGTTGCAAAACCGCAAATAAGGACCGGAATTGCAAAAAAAAACAAATTGGGACCAAAATTGCAAAAGTCAGCTATACCCAGGGACCAAAAGTGTAATTTACTCTTTATTTTTATTTTAAGAATAATGCCGATTTAATTGAGAAGTTTTATGTATTTCAGGCTCATGTGCTTCTCCACATAATCCGCTCATCAAAAGACAGCCAAATTATAAACGAAAATACAAATACAAGCGGTGATCATTCAACTCTTTTGCCAACACCCTCAGATCTTCAAGGCCACGTGGCAGAATCTTATAGCATCGTGTCTGCTTTGTATGGGTCTTTTAAGACGAAAGCTAAAGAACAGGTAGGTTAAACCAAAATCTAATAATCTTTTTTCCCAAATAACAATCAAAACCATTTATTAATTTATATCTTGTATAATATAGGGGTGGGTGATGTCAGATTCCCTTCTCAATCCTGGTCGGGCCCGCATATGTCAACAAGTTAAATAATGACTCACATGACATAGTAATCTTATGGATTTCCGTTGGGAAAATTTTAAACTGTTTATCCTTATTACATTATTCACGCCTTCGGTTTGTATATGCAAGCAATTTTTTTTTTTTTTTTTTTTTTAAAGTTTTAATCATGGGTATAACTATTTCCACATTTAACCACCGAAAAACGACAAATCTATAGTTCCCATATAGGATTCGTATAACCAGTTTGTATTAATTGGTGTGAAAGGTGATGTTTCTCTTTAAACAAACCAAAATTGTCAAAATAGGGATCATGTATAAGATCGTTTTTCGTTTTATAAGATTGCGATCGGAAGATTCTACAAAAAACATTTTAAAACATAAAAAAAATACATAAAAGCATTTTAAAACATGAAAAAAATACATTTTCGTTAATCAGTTAACAGTAAGTAATTTAAACATGAAAAATACATTCTTAAATCTCAATACATCATTTAAAAATAGACAATTCAAAAGAGGTTTCCTATGGTTCATATTCCAATGTATTTAGTTAGTCAAAGCCAAAATATTAGTTTTCTAAATAAATAAATAATAATGTTCTTATTCCGATTTTACCAAAAATCGAACTTATATATGATCATGATTGATTTACCTAGATGAGAATCATTGAACCAAAGTACAAGCACATGCATGTACTTAGTTGCACAAGTGAGTTGATTTAATTTTTATGCCAAAAATCAAAGAGACTTTATTTATGGAATCTATTTTTATATGATTAAAACAAATATACGGAAAAAGATAAATGACGAAACCAAAGGAAAAGATTGAGGGTGTACTGTGTCCTTGGACATTGTATGTACTATATATAATGTAGATTGTAGAATGCATTACAGCTGGTGATCCGTAGCCCGTATATAGTATGTATAATAAATATATATATGGTTATATGCATACAATTACAATGATACAATGATACAAATGAAATGGTGTTGTGGGTGGTTACAACTTACAAGTGTGTACTGTTTACAATTTCATAAGACGTGGCTATATGTCATCATCATCGACAGTACTGATGCACTGTAGGAGGTACACTTGACATCCTATTTTGCAACATTCATTGGTTTCCTCTTAAACCCAATCTTGTTTCAATTCCCTATACCATAATGAACTATTTCTTCATTAATTATAAGACAGACGTAACAGTTGACATGTAATTAATTATATAGAGTATGAAGTTTGAAGTTAAGATTGGCATTGCATATGGAGTATATTATAAGGACAAGGTCTGACTTGAGGTCGCAAGTGGTCCCATGATGTTGGGATTAATATGATTCACAATATGAGAGTGAGAATGAAAACACCTATATTAAATGCTTTACCAACATTCACAAGAATATTAAAAGTCATATGGTCCAACAACACAACAGACATATATCGCTCTTTTCTTTCTGGTTTTAATTCAAAACTTTTCACTTTTATTATTATTATTCTTATTATTCTTATTATTGTTGTCACTTATGAAGATAAGAGAGATGATATTAGATAACATTATTTCCTTTTTAAACTATATGTAATGTATCAAATATATTAACTGCTATTGGTGGGACTTGCTCATGGATCTGACATTAATTTGTTGCTAAAATCTCTATCGTGTAAATATTTTAGTCTGGGAATTTTAACGCGTAAAAAAGGCTACATAAATTTATTACTCTTTCATCTTTTAATTTAACACATATCTAGTTTTAAGAAGATAAATATTTAATTATTAATCAAATATATCAAATATTCAAGTTTTAAGAAAACTATAATAAACTAAAATAAAATCGATCAATACTTTCAAAGAATCATTACAAACATGTGAAAACAATACGGAATGAAAACTTATTTAAAAAAGAAGAATTAATTGTTGCGTCTTCTCAAACCACTCAAACAAATAGTACATGTTTACAAAGTAATGTTTACTATGCAGGTCAGCAGCTCTTTGGCTAAATGCAACAAATATGAAATATATTTTAATATGATATCTTGTTTTCTAACTTTTTTTTATAACATTATTGTACTTTTAAGTATTTTTATTATCATTTTTTTTATAGAATAATATCTTTATATTTTTTATTTCATATCAGGTTGTTCTATTTTGAAAAATATACCCCTTTTAATATTGTTTTATTATTTAAATGACGTTGTTATAAAGCAAACAATTATAATACAATGATTAATATGAAGACATAAAAATATAAAAAACTATAATAAATAAATCAGTTAGAGTAGCTTTAACTTTGAAAATCGCTTTAACGAATATCCAATATGTTGCCTAGATTTTACAAAGTAGATTATATAGGATATTTCATCAAACTTTTAATAGAATTTAGCAAAGGGACCACAAATTTTCAGACAAAAGAGTAATATATAAAGAAAAAAAAGAAAAAAGAAGCAAGAGATAAAAAAGTTATCAAATTAATATTCCATACAAATGGAATCCTTTACGTTAATCCATCCCTCATTAACTAATCATCATAACATCACCAAATCACATATATAATCTCCTAACATTTTTATCATAATATAACTTCCCCTCACCGGCCCCCTAATTAAACCATATATAATATAATCCATGAGCATGAAGGCCTTCTTACTACTAAATCACAACACAAGATTCATTTTTTTTTTATATAATTAATTTGGATCTTGAGGTTGAGGTGCATTAATGGAGATAGAGTTGGTGATGTTCTTTGCAAGATTTTGTTTGTTGTTATGCATCCAGACTTTTAACACTCTCCTTTTGATCCCGATTTCTTGACAGAAGTGTTGAACAACGGATTCCTCTTGTCTTTGTATCTTCCACCCAACTTTCTCTGCAAAATTCACCATCTTCTCCTTCTGTTCTTGTGTGAACTTGGTTCTGAACCTCTTCTTCACCACCTGCTGCGCCACCGCTGCTCCCCGCCGATCTTCTTGCTCCTCAGATTCTGATCGGAAACCACCCATTCCCATTCCCATATTGTATGGTACAAGTGCCCCTCCGCCATTTCCAAGAACACCATTTGGGTGATGATGATGAGCTTGAAGGATGAGGTTTCTACCGTTTCCAAGATCAAGTCTTTTGAGATGTGGAGAGGAACTGTGGTAGTTAATGTAGTCGTAGGAGGTGGTGGGAATGGGGTGGTGGTGCCGGTGGTGGTGGGGGTTGTCACCTTCCATTTCTTTCCGGTGGAAGTTTCGGTGGCAGCTGCAGACTGCGCAAGTGAGAGCTTCAAGAGTACCCTCTTCACCGGAAGCCATGAACTCACCACACCCATCTGTCGCCTTTCCTCCAATGGAAGCTGCATGGTTCTTTAAACATTCTCTGTACCTTACAACCACCATCATCTTCTTGCTAATGTCCTCCATGGACGGCGGCGGCGGCGGCGGTGCTGTTATGGTGGACATATCGGGTGGTGGTTGATGGAGTGATAATGGGAGAATGTGATTGTGTCCATATGTGGTGTTGATCGGGAGAGCCATCTCTCCTACTTCTTCTTCTTCTTCCTGATCTTCCTCTTCATGTTCATGGTGAAATTCCATTTCTACCCTTGCGCCTGCACTAAGATTGAAGAAGTTGAAAATGGAGGGTTTTGGAGGTGAGTGGAGTACTAAACATGAGTTTATGGGAGAAATGAAGTCTGAAAGAGGGTAAGGGGTATAAGGGAGAAAAAAAAGGAAGACAAAAGCTGATTGCTTTGCTTGCACTATCAGGCATCAAGTTTAGCCTGGTTATCCACACCTTATATTGTTGAATTCAGAATCTCATACTAATTTTGTTATATCGTGTGCAAGTTATTATACATGTGATGGTATCAAATCAGTGATTATTGGTCTGGTAATAGTTTCTTTTCCAACGGTTTTGTTAGATGCTAAAAAAAACCCTAATAATTGGTGACGTGTAGTCATAACATCATTTCTTTTTGAAACTTAAAAAAATATTTGACATTTCGTGAGTTTTGTAGCGCCCATTTGCGGATTTTATTTTATTACTTTTATTATTATTATTATTATTTTACAAAAACATATGTATAACTCTCTGCACGAAATTTATATATCATTCATCAGGTACTAAAATTAGGGGTGAGTTAGGTTCTAGACAGACAGGTACCGATTTTTTTTGGACCTTGGACCGAAGACCGAACCATATGTTTGTGTTCGGGATCGGTTCGGTTCGGTGCCGGGTAAATCGGTTTCAGGACCAAGATTGACCAAACCAAAGGACACTGTTGTTTTTTGATAGAAAGTCAAAGTAAATTATTGTTTTCATTAAAAAGAAACAAAGTAAAATACAGTTTTTTTAACTGAAAGTCAAAGTACATTGTTATTTTCATTGAAAAACAAAGTACAATGCTATATTTTGTCAAAAGTCAAAATACATTATTGTTTTCATTAAAAAAACAAAGTACATTGCTGTTTTCGGTATAAAACAATGTACATTCATTCCTATTCATCTGTAGCATTTTTTTTCCTTTTATGTTTTGATTAGATATAACATCTTCAATCTCTAATATTGTAAAGACTAAATTGTACAAATGGTCTCTGTGGTTTGCTCAAAATTGTCACTTTGGTCCAAAAAAGTTTGGACTAGCATCACAGGTCCAAAGTTTTTATTTTGTTGCGAGTTTGGTCCAATCTGTTTTTAATTTTTATAAAATGACGATTTTGCCCTTTCTATTTTGATTTTTCATTATTTATTTATTTTTTAAATTACAAAGTTAATAAAGGAAAAAAAAAATCTATTTGTATTATCACCCCCACCCCATATTTTTATCTCTCCCATTCAGAAAAAAGGAAACACCACCAGATTCCGGTGGCTATTTTTGGTGACCGACCTTTCCGGCAACGAGAGGATTTTGTCGTCGGAGACGTTTTTTTAACAACAAACCAGAAGGGTTTGACAACTAGAATGCTTTAAGAATATGGGATTGCTTTGGAAGAAGAAGATCGATAGAGGTTTCCGGAAAAAAGGAATGAGCGAATATGTCTAGACCTGTCTATCATGTTCGTCGTATTCTGGTAGTGGTGGTTAGATCGGCGGTAGTGGTGACACATAGATCGAAGCAAGGGTTTGCTGGGGTTTGTAGAGGCGGCGACGGCGCTGGAGTTTACATACAGATGGTTGTGTCGTCTCGCTTCTCCTCTTCATCATCATTCTTGCTTCACCACGGACAGAGGTGGAATAAACTCGAGCAACCGACAGAGGTAACTTAAAGCTGGTGATGAATGACCCTAGGGTTCCGGAGTCGACGACGGCGCTAATAGAGACAGTCAAGGATTCGACGGGGGCATTAGAAAGCTAAACGACACGAATCGTAGATCCGACGTCTGATGTTCAGATCTTCGTCGTCGGTGGTGGTTTGGATGGTCCGACAGGCGGTTCATAACAGTAGAAGGGAGAGAATGAGAGAGATGGCCATAGTAGCAGCAGAAAGCAAGAAGAATAGTGGTCTCCAGCGGTTCAGATCTCAATTTTTTTCTCCGGCGAAGTCGGCGCCCAATAGTTCTAGGGTTCCGGTGTCGGCGGTGGTTTTGGTGGTAGACGATGGTGGTGCTCCGGCAGCCGGTGGTAGTTGCTTTTGAAATAATGAAGAGAGAGATATGATGTTTATATGTGTTATAAAAAACATGTGAGTGTAATAGGGTTATATATTTCTTTTCTTTTTGGTTTAATTTTTATATAGGAAATAAAAATTTAATAAAAGAATATTAGAAAAAAAATAACAAGGGAAAATCCGTCAGTTTAGATATTTTCAAAACAAATTGGACCAAACTCGCAACAAAATGAAAACTTTGGACCTCTGGTGCTAGTCCAAACCTTTTTGGACCAAAGTGGCAATTTTCGACATACCCCATGGACCATTTGTGCAGTTTTGTCTGTTGTAAAAAACCAGTAAACAAATGAAGTTAAGAGTAAATTATAGAAATGGTCCCTATGGTTTGGTCGAAGTCTCAGTTTTGGTCCTTAAGTTTAAAATTTGATAGGTTACATCTCTGTGGTTTGTGAAAATTGCACTGTTGGTCCTTGGTCCATATAAAAAGACCAAATTACCCTTTCTTTCTTTTTTCTTTTTCTTTTAACAATA